CACAAACCGTCAGCGCCCACACGTCTGTAGCGACGAGTACTACGAGGATATGTTAAGAAAACAAATCTTAGATGGCACGACACAACGATTAATCTCGAATAATGCGCGTGCCTCAAAGGGCATTTTTGTAAAATCCTTTATTAAAACTTTAAAAATTCTTAAAATTAGGGACGGGCTGTCACATTAGGGGTATAAAATTGTTAAATTAATATATATAATTATTACAGTATTTTTTTAGGGTTATAAAATTATAAAATTAATATTCTGCTTATCGTGTATCGTGTTACCCACGTGTATACCCGAATCAACCCGTTATCTTAGCAGGTGCTTATTGGTTAGCCAATAATGACCCGATTCGTTATCGTGTCGACCCGAACACCTGTTAATTTCGTGTCGTGTCGTGTCAGATTATCGGATTGTGTCAGGAATTGCCAGACCTACTAGCCCGCCACTCGACTAACACTTAACATTTTTAGAACCTTGTTTATTATTACTTCCTATTAATAATATATCTTACTGTTAACACGAAAAATTCCTGAAACGAAAGAGACAAGAACAACATGCACAAAATAATATTTGTATTTGATGATTTTGGGTTACAATCTCCCTCAAATTTGATCATCTGATTCGATCTCCGTAAGGTGTTGATTTGTGGATGTTTCATTTGATCCAAGGGCCGTCGAGGCTTGATTTTGGATGAACTGTTGGAAGTTTCTTCAAGGGCCGTGGGCTTGATCTTTGAAGGTGGATTTGAGCGAATCTTCAAAGAGCCGTTGGGGCTTGATCTTGAGGATGAGTGTTTCTTCAAGGGCCGTTGAGGCTTGATCTTGAATAACGGTGATGAACGGATCTTCAAAGGCTTTTGGGCTTGATCTTGAAGAACAGTGATGAACGGATCTTCAAGGGCTTTTGGGCTTGATCTTGAAGAACGGTTGGATGTGTGGATTTGTCGACGTTGTTGATCCAAAGGGTCGTTGGGCTTGATCTTAAGATGAACGGATGATGAACAATGGTGCTTTCTTCAAGGGCCGTCGGGGCTTGATCTTGGAAGAACGATGAACGAAGAACGAAGAACACTTTCTTCAAGGGCTGTCGAGGCTTGATCTTGAATTGGTGGATGATTGTTGATCTAAAGGGCCGTTGGGGCTTGATCTTGGAAGAACGATGAACGAAGAACACTTTCTTCAAGGGCCGTCGGGGCTTGATCTTGAATTGGTGGATGATTGTTGATCTAAAGGGCCGTTTGGGCTTGATCTTAGGATGAACAATGAACGAAGAACGAAGAGAGCTTTCTTGATTTTTCGGGAACCTGAATGCTTGAAAGCTTCGGAGTTTCAGAACTTCAAAGCTTCAAGAATTTTGCCTAATGATTTTGGTTCCTTGAAATGAATGAAATTGGCTTCTATTTATAGAAATTTCCAAGGCCTAATTTTGAATATAATATTCCAGATGAAATAAGTCGTTTCTGCCAGGTGTTGACACGTGTCCTATTTGATGACTTTTCCAACTTATTTTGATTTTTTGTTTAAACACACGCTACGTGTAAAATTTATGTAATACATGAGCGTTGAAACTTTGATTTATCGATCAACATTTATTTACCGAAATTTCGATGTCTACAAATGCCCCCACTTCAAGGCGCGTCGTATACATGTGCTTGTCGCGTGTAGGATATGCGTTTTGAAGTCTCTTAATGTAGATGTCGATCTAAGGGCCATCAAGGCTTGATCTTGAATTGGGCTGGAGATTTCTTCAAGGGCCGTCGAGGCTTGATCTTGAATTAGGCTTGAGATTTCTTCAAGGGCCGTTGAGGCTTGTTCTTGAACTTTGTTTGAAATTTCTTCAAGGGCCGTCGAGGCTTGATCTTGAAGGTTGAAATTGGACCACAAGGAGCTTCATGTGGTAGATGATCTTTGGCTTTGGTAGTGGATGAATTGGCACGTATTTGTTTTTGCGCTTGTTGACTTTCCACAACTTCGATCTTGAACTGGGTTGGAGGATTTTCTGGATTCCTCAAATTGTTGACTTTCCTCAGCTTATTCTTGAACTGGATTTGATTCAAGGGTGGTGGATGCTTGATCTTGAATCGGACTTGTGATTTCCTCAAGGGTCGTCGAGGCTTGATCTTGAACTTTGGCTGGAAGCTTCTTCAAGGGCCGTTGAGGCTTGATCTTGAAGGTTGATTCGAACACATGGCAAGTAAGCACGAGGTAAAGGTGACGGCCTGTTTCTTTGTTCAATCTTTCTAATTCACACCTGAGCAGTTTGGTCAACGGTATGATATTCAAGATTGATGGGCTCTTCTTCGGGTTGGTGACTTGATCTTTAAGGATTTGATTCAAGGGTGGTGAATCGGTCCGTGCAACCCACAATGCCTAGCGAGTAGACCTAAGAATTTGAGGGTCAAAACGAGTCCTCCACCCAGAGTGATTGCAACCCTGATGATATGAGATACTTTTGATTTTGAAGAAATAGCGGATGAATCAGCACGTGCTTTATTGTGCTTGTCTCCACATGCTTCAATGTATTATTTTCCCTTGCCTTATCTATTCTTCTGGCAGAATGTGACATCTTCTCAAGTTCCTCAGCTTAGACTCCTTATTCTCTCTAATTCTTCAACTCGGACTCCTTTTAATGAGTTAATTGTGCATGCCGCATTTCCTTATTTGTTCTCCAAGCAGATGCGGCATATTCTCGAGTTCCTCAGCTCAGACTCCTTCTGCTGAGATGACTGTGCATGCCGCATTCTTCTCTGCTTGTTCTTTCTGCACGTTTCCTCCACATGCTGCAAGGTATCATTTTCACTTGCCTTATATGTTCTCCAGGTAGATATGGCAGCTTCTTTGGAAGTACAGCAGCAGTGGAAGACGAGTACTCGAGAGCAGTGCTAGGTAGGCAATCAGGGAAGGGTTCCAAGCAGTCGGTTCCTTACCTGAGTTTGAGTGGAGGTTCCGGCATATTGCTTTCTTTATCCTTGTCTTTGCAGGTAAGAACAAGGACAAATGAAAAGACAGGGAGAACGCATGATATGAGATACTCTTGTTTTCTACGCTGGTGATATGAGATACTTTTGCTTTGGTGTCATTTGTTTGCAGAGGTACCCCAAGGAATAAGGAACACTGAGTGACTCGAGAGGCTTAATTGGGAAGGCATTCTCGAAGATGAAGAAAGGTTCTGTATATCTATTTTGCTATGGAGGGTGAAGGTGGACAGTTATAGGAAGTTCTTTAATACCTGTAAAGGTACTATTATTTCACTCGTGTCGGCAACCATTGAGTGATTGATCAGTATGGCTTCACATGCTTTCTTCTTTATCAGAAATCTTCGACAAATTGTCCGTAATTTCCGCCAAGCTGAGTGTGCATGTGACAGGTGTTGACGAGGCTGAAAAAGACTAGCGCCTCTTCGATATATGGGATCGGCGCTTCGACAAATTACCCGTGATTTCCGCAAAGCTGAGTTTGCGTGTGACGGGTGCTGACGCGTCTGGAAAAGCAAGATGCCTCTCCGATTTCTGAGCTTGCTTCTTCGATTTTTGAATTGGCCTCTTCGAATTCTGAGTTCGCCTATTCGATCTCTGAAATCCCGTCGAGTGCTGATTTTTATAGAGGCACGCAGTACGTTCAAAGCATACTTGAATTTCTGCTTGTAGAAACTCCCTTCTTGCATTTCTTGAATTTCTGCTTGTAGAAACTCCCTTCTTGCATTTCTAAGATCTTGATTTGTCCGACCTCTTCTTTCTTCAACACCTTTGAAAATGTCTGGACCCTCCGACCGTCGTTTTGATTTGAACCTTGGTGAAGAGGTAATCCCGCCTTCTCCAGACAACATATGGCGCCCATCCTTCATATCCCCTACTGGTCATCTTACCGTTAGGGATTTGGTGATGAAGAATGATATGACCGCTACGGTGGTGGCCTGGAACCTTGTCACTCCCAAAGATAACAGACTGTTTTCCAAACAGTCTGATGAGTTGGCTATCAAGGATTCTCTGGCTCTCAGTGTGCAGTGTGCAGGTTCTGTGTCTAATATGGCCCAATGTCTATTTGCTCGAACCCGTCAAGTTGAATCATTGGTGGCTGAAGTGATGAGTCTCAAACAGGAGATTAGAGGGCTCAAGCATGAGAATAAACAGTTGCACAGGCTCGCACATAACTATACCTCAAACATGAAGATGAAGATTGACCAGATGCAGGAATCTGATGGTCAGATTTTACTTGATCATCAAAGGTTTGTGGGTTTGTTCCAACAGCATTTGCCTTCGTCTTCTAGGGCTGTACCGCGTAATGAAGCTCCACATGATCAACCTCTGGCTCCTCTTCTTCTTGGAGTTCCGCCGAGTGGTGAGGCTTCAAACAGTCAACCTCCGGCGCCTCTTCTTCCTGGAGCTCTGCCGAGTGGTGAGGCTTCACACGAGTAACCTTCGTGAAGGCTCCCTCCTGGTTGTAATTTTTTTTTTTTACCGATGTTAAAATGTACATTTCTGTAAATTTTCAGAAAAATCAATAAATGAGGCTTTTTTTTCATTCAATATATATATATATATATATATATATATATTTTTTTTCTTATCTTGCACATGGTGCCAGATGCACCATCATTCTTTTTATTTTATTTTATCTGCTTTTGGTGATGCTCACCCCACCACCACTAACTAGATGATGGCCACCATAATCATACCGCACCATGATCCCTTTTTTTTTTTTTAATAATATCATATCTACTTTTTTTTTATATATATACGGTGCTATGAAAGGCTGGATTTGTGGGTGAAAACCCAGGCCGAGTCCGAGAGAAGACGAATGAGGAGGGGCTGCACTTGCTGCTGAAGCTGATGGGCAGAAGGAGAGGGCGTCGAACATCCGTGAAGCTGCTAGTTGCTTGGTGCCATGGTGGAGAAGCTGCTAATTGCTTGGTGCCATGGTGGAGAGTCGGCGACGACGGCGTTACGGAGAGGGCTAAGCACCGGGAAAGATAAAGCTCCCACGAGAGTGCCTCACAGATTTCATAGCTAGAGAGAGGGAGTCAGCCAGCTCCAACCTCCTTGCCAAATTACAGTACTGCCTCTTGACCGTACACTCGTAGTCGGGGATCGAATGATCCCATGATGAAGGGCAGAAACGGGTGCAGACGGGATGAATGGTGCAGTCTTGGGCGGATGAGTTGCGGCGGAGGTGCGGCGCTGGGTGATGAGCTGTGGTGTTTTGGATGCTGAAGAACCAATTTCTATGTTTTGGCGACCTCGCGTTTAATGGCAGATTCCATTCCATGCCTTAAGTCCCTCAGCTTCACATCCATTCTCTCTAGATCTTTCTCATCAATCGCCGGAGCATCCACCGCACTCCCCGACTCACTCTTAAAAGCACTCACAAAATCTTCCAAGCTCGTCGGCAATGGCGCTGCGCAGGCTCTCAAGCTCTATCAGCAACAAGCTATCATTTCAACCCTTTTTTAATGGCGACTCCGTCGAGAAGTCAGGCGGTGGTGAAGATGAAGCCGAGGGACTCAAGCTTGAAGTGGACAGAGATGTCGTGGGTTGAGCTGGAGCGGAAGCTGCACTTCTCTCGCTTCTTACTGCTTCGTCGCTGCATAGAAGCCACTGCACGCTGCTGCATGAGATGAAAGGTGGAGTTCACTTGGGCCGAGTCACGGGGAACTTGAAGTGAGGGTGCGGCTGTGGAGAACAGAGAGGGAATCACAACTATCTTCGGAGGACGAGGGAGCTACAGAAAGAATCTGTCGATTCTTCGAGAAGAGATCCAGGCCACCTTTATCGTAGCCATTTAGCCCTAAGTTCAAACTCTGACCTCGCCAGTGATGCGACCCCATCGGAAAGTTCCTCCCTCTAGACAGTTTCGCGGCAACAATTGCAGTCATCCCATTATCAGTATCGCATTATGGGTTTACAGCAACATCACCTTGTAAGTTATGAAGTATGTTGAATCTGTCGCAGAATGGGAGAAGAAAAAGGGAGACAATTCGAATCTCTGAGGCATTGAAAAGGATGACAGGGCCCTGTAGCTTGAGGGGTGTACGGATCGAGAGAGGACCGGGCCCGGATTTGTAGCTGGTGGACTTGGGTCTTCTTCTTGGAGCTGGATTTGGACATAGGCTTGGGCCTGGTCGCTGCCACTTGGGTTTGGATGACCTCATTTTGATGGGCTGGCTGGATAGAGGTCATATATACATATATATATATATGTATATGTATATAAAAGGAATCTGTATTTTTTTTTTAACAAAATGAATTTGTAATAAAATTGACCTTCATCAATGAAACACTTATTTATTATTATTATTATTATTTTTTAAAATACATAGTAATCACATATGTATATATATATATATTTTTTGTAATGAAATTGACTTTCATTAATAAAACTCTTTTTTTTTATGTGATGTGACTGAACTCGAAAATTGAATGTTTGAGCTGCCTACGTACCCTTCCAAAGAAGAGATCAAGTCATAACGTAGTTCAAATGAGCGATGAATTTAACAATGATTTTGATGATGATTTTGCCGTACACAGTTTATGCTCTTGCGGGCCAGGAGCATTGATGTTGCCTTTTATGCTCGTGCAGACCAGGAGCGTTGGTGTTGTTTGCAGTTTCAACTCGTGCAAACAATGAGCATTTGGTGTTGCCTTTTATGCTCGTGCAGACTAGGAGTATTGATGTTGCCTTTTATGCTCGTGCAGACCAGGAGCTTTGTGCCATGCAGTTTAGACTCGTGCGGGTGAGGAGAATTTTTTTTTTTTGGTAGATTTGTCAAGCAATTTTGGAGAGGCGTTCCTCACAATCTTCATAGCAAGGAGCTTTGACCGCGTGATTGAAGAAGTCTTCGGGCAAGAAGTCGCGCATCGTGATGGCAACGGACGATCTTTGTGTCGCAATTTCATCATCTTCAACACGTTCACGTGGCTTTGAAGGTTGACAATAGCTGTTTTGCCCCCTTTCCGATTGGCGGACTTGTGGAGGAAACGTATGCTTCTTGTGCAATTTCTTATGAGTGACTTGAGTCCATCCTTCAACTTTGCTTGTCTTGGAGGATGCCCCTAATGGTTAAGGTGAAAACTTTGAGTCGGAAGAGCCAAAAGTGATGGTGGTATAGTTTGACTTCACCACATCGTCAAGATCTAGCTCGATGATTCCTTTCTGAGCTAGCTTCATGATGAGATCTTTCAGCACGAAGCATTTTTCTGTCGGATGACTGATGAAGCGGTGGAATTTATAGTATCTTGGACTGTCGGTACGATTCATCTCTTCTGGCCGTCTGCACTAAGGCAAACTAATCACCTTCTTATCCAACATGTCATCCAGCATGGCAACCATATCAGAGTCGGGGAATGGATAAGTCTTCTCCTCAAGCTCCTTCAAAGTGCGTCTACGCATTTCTTGATCACGAAAAGCTTCGGCTTGAATCGTCTTGCCTCGTGTAGAGATTTTGACGGGAGATGTGTTGACCGTCATCGCTTCCTTGGTGGGTTTCCATGCAGCCTTCTCCACCTTTGTCCCAAGAACTTTGTCATTCTTGTAGTCGGCGATCGGTTCTTTCTTCCCATAATGGGCGATGCTCAACTCCATGTCATGGGCGCGGGTGGCTAACTCTTCGAAGGTCCGTGGTTTGATGCCTTGAAGGATGTATTGCAAACCCCATTGCATGCCTTGGATGCACATCTCGATTGAAGAGGTTTCCGAGAGCCTGTCTTTACAGTCAAGGCTTAGAGTGCGCCATTTGTTGATGTAGTCAATGACTGGCTCGTCCTTCCACTGCTTTGTGCTCGTTAGCTCTAGCATGCTCACAGTGCGGCGGATGCTGTAGAAGCGGTTGAGGAATTCCCGCTCCAATTGCTCCCAGCTATTGATGGACTCAGGCTCTAGGTCCGTGTACCACTCAAAGGCGTTTCCTTTCAGCGAGCGCACAAACTGCTTGACGAGGTAGTCCCCTTCGGTCCCTGCGTTGTTGCAAGTTTCAACAAAGTGGGCAACGTGCTGTTTTGGGTTTCCATTTCCATCAAATTGCATGAACTTTGGCGGTTGATAACCCTTCGGCATCCTTAAGGCGTCAATCTTCTTTGAATACGGCTTCGAGTACAACCCGGAGGTATTTGAGCTCCATTCGTACTGTGCCTTGATGGTGTCAGTGATCATCTCCTGCAGCTGTTGGATAGAAAGAGATCCCATGAGTGCCGCTGCTTGGTCTGGCTCCAGCTTCACATCGATTCTCTCCACTGGAGGCTCATCTTCTTCGCCAGCTCCTCTTTTTAGTGGATCATCTTCTGGGTTGGGGTTCTCGCCGTCCTGTGGCTCCAGTTGGTCGACGAGTGCAGTGATTTGCAAGTCTTTTTCTTCAACAATCCATGTTAGCCTTGCGATCGCTTCATTCATTTGAGCCAGTTGTTCTTCGATGGAGGTAACGCCGATGGTCATGACTTGTGCAACCAATAGACGTGACTTTCCTTTAGACATCCAGGATGCTGACGAAGAACGTCGTGGGCTGTTTTGGGATGTCATCTTGTGTGCCTCAGCAGCATGCTTCGGTGCCCCCAGCGAGGTCAGGTTAATGACATACTCGCACCTTTGATGCTCCCCTTGCTCCTTTAGTAGCACCAACTTTGAAGTGGCATGTTGAGGAGCGGTTGTGGCGCCAATGGATTGTCCGTTCGTGGCAGAAGTGCTCAGGATCATTCTCTTGGTGGTTGCGAGAATGGCTTGTCCCTTGCTTGATGCCATTGACTTTGAGGCGTGTTTGGATTCCTTGAACGAAGAAAGAGATGAGAGGTAGAGATTGTCCCACTGGGCGTGCCAATTTGTTAACACGAAAAATTCCTGAAACGAAAGAGACAAGAACAACGTGCATAAAATAATATTTGTATTTGACGATTTTGGGTTACAATCTCTCTCAAACTTGATCCTCTGATCCAATCTCCGTAAGGTGTTGATTTGTGGATGTTTCGTTTGATCCAAGGGCCGTCGAGGCTTGATTTTGAATGAACTGTTGGAAGTTTCTTCAAGGGCCGTGGGCTTGATCTTTGAATGTGGATTTGAGCGAATCTTCAAGGAGCCATTGGGGCTTGATCTTGAGGATGAGTGTTTCTTCAAGGGCCGTTGAGGCTTGATCTTGAATAACGGTGATGAACGGATGTTCGAGGGCTTTTGGGCTTGATCTTGAAGAACAGTGATGAACGAATCTTCAATGGCTTTTGGGCTTGATCTTGAAGAACGGTTGGATGTGTGGATTTGTCGATGTTGTTGATCCAAAAGGCCGTTGGGCTTGATCTTAAGATGAACGGATGATGAACGATGGTGCTTTCTTCAAGGGCCGTCGGTGCTTGATCTTGGAAGAACGATGAATGAAGAACGAATAACACTTTCTTCAAGGGTCGTCGGGGCTTGATCTTGAATTGGTGGATGATTATTGATCCAAAGGGTCGTTGGGGCTTGATCTTGGAAGAACGATGAACGAAGAACACTTTCTTCAAGGGCCGTCGGGGCTTGATCTTGAATTGGTGTATGATTGTTGATCTAAAGGGCCGTTTGGGCTTGATCTTAGGATGAACGATGAACGAAGAACGAAGAACGAAGAAAGCTTTCTTGATTCTTCGGGAACCTGAATGCTTGAGAGCTTCGGAGTTTCAGAGCTTCAGAGCTTCAAGAATTTTGCCTAATGATTTTGGTTCCTTGAAATGAATGAAATTGGCTTCTATTTATAGAATTTTCCAAGGCCTAATTTTGAATATAATATTCCAGATGAAATAAGTCGTTTCTGCCAGATGTTGACACGTGTCCTGTTTGATGACTTTTCCAACTTATTTCGATTTTTTGTTTAGACACACGTTACGTGTAAAATTTATGTAATACATGAGCGTTGAAACTTTGATTTATCGATCAACATTTATTTACCGAAATTTCGACGTCTACACTTACATTAGGGTTTTCTTTTTCTCTTTTGATTAGTTGATGTTTTTAATTTGCACCATATGCCACAAGCATTTATCGTTGCAGTATGTGATTAGCTATCCCCACTCCCCATACCAATGTTTTTCGTCAACTTGTGCTCATCCCCGAAATGCACCGTTTTATTCAAGAACGATTGCGGTACCAATAATAATATGGTATCTTTAGCATTTTTTTATAATAATTATATGTTCACCGATCGCCTATATATTCTTTTTAGCTTATGACATACTTTTATTTATTGTTGACCATCTTCGAATAACTCAAACAAAAACAACACTGAAATATTAAATATAAGAGTGCATGAGACTAAA